ATTTATTTAGTGTGCGTGTGTGTGTGTGTGTGTGTGTGTGTGTGTGTGTGTCAGTGTGTGCGCAGGTCAGAGGACAGCTTTCAGTTGGTTCTCTTCCACTACTGTTTGGTTCCTGGGGACTGAACTCAGCTCAATAGCCTTGGCGCCCTGCTGCTAAGCCATTTCACCCACCCATTATGGAGACTTAGAATAAGGCTATTGTATTCAGTTTGACTTTCATTAGCTTATGAATAGTTAAAAAATACAGCATAAATAGATACAATCAAATCTATTCATGGATAAGAAGCAAAATAATAGAAAATACTTGGCACAAATATCAAAAGAAATGAACATATTCTTTTTGTAGGAACTTTTAATGCGGCAAAATTACTGCATACTTCCTCAGCAGTTTCCATATATAGAGATCTCTCTGGCTATGGAATACCCCCAAAATGCTACAAGAAATGATTTAAACTGTATTCTTTATTCATAGCTGAGTTCATAGGAAATTAATGAAAACAACTGAAACTGGTTCGAGAGACACCACAATGCTACAGGGTGACTCAGCTCTGGTAACGGAGCTGCCCTAAAGTGCACCCAGCCCTTCTGGCTAGAAGAGTCTGGGTTTCAAGCAGGCTTGTTTATGAGAACGAGAGCGACAAAAATAAAAGACAGGGATGGTGTCAATGTACTCTGCTTGCCACAGGGTGGATGGCTCAACCACAGGAAACGACTCTTCTCACAGATCTGGCGGCAAGATGTCCAAGATGGAGTGGCTCAAACACATGTGACTACATCCCTCTTCCCGGCTATCAGATAGCCAGGCTCTCTTCTTTTGATACCCCCTGTAACTTTTTCCCTGCGCTCATGGGGTTAGAAAAAGCAAAAACAAGAACATATGCTCTGGTGTCTCTTCCTCTTCTTATGTAGACTTTAAGTCTTTTTCTTTTTCTTTCCTTTTGCTACAAAATGATATAACTTTCATGCCAGAGCTAATGTAAGGGCAGCTGCAGAGGCTCAACTCTCCCACCTCTATGCCTGTAATCCTCGGGCATCAATCGATCAGGCAGTGAGAGGCATCACATCTTGTTCCTTTATAGGACAGGTGAGAACTTACAGCTTGGGATACGCACAGGGGTGAGGGGGTAGTGCCATTACTTACCCTCAAGGCTCTCCCTTGCACAATCAGCAAAGCTCTGTTGGGACCTTCATGAACAGTTATGGCATGGGAGGAAGGTGATCATGGTTCTAGACTATGGAACGAGGTGTCTTGAAAAGAGGAGTTTGTGTGTAGGGGACTCAGATAATTAGGGCTGGGATATTGTTACTAATTTTATGTCAGCTTGACACAGCTAACCATTTTGAAAAAAAGAACCTCAATTGAGAAAATGCCCACATCATACCAGCCTGTAGAAAAGTCTGTAGGGCATCTTCTTGGTTGATGATTGATGTGGGAGGAATTTCAACCAGCAACATGACTCATCTGACAAGGGATTACATCCAGAGACATTCTAGGTCTATTTGATCTCGCTGGAATGCAAACACACTCTGGATTATAGTATGATCTGGCTCACCCTTAGTACATACCTTTAATCCCAAACAATGAAGGTAAAGTTAGTTTACAGAAGAAAGCACCCATGTTTCAACGTGATGTCTAATTGAGGAGCAGACAAAGTGACAAATCAGAGAAAGGTTTGGCAGAATGAGCCAAAGATAGAATACACCCAACTCTCATGAGAACGAGACAGGAAGAACAGGCCACTTAAGAGCAGCAGAAAGAGAGGGAGAGTTTTTACCGAGAGTTGATTATCGGGACAATTTTATAAAGACAGGTTGCAGAAAGAACAAACTAGACACAGGTGAAGACAGAACAAGAGAGAGAATGAGAAGGAGCCAGAAGATTAAAACATATTGCTGGAATTAGTTTTGAGGCCAAGCAGAGCAATACAGTCAGAAGCTGAGAGAAGCCAGTTTGAATCAGTCAGTTTAGAGAGGAGTTTAGGCCAGAACAGCTGAGTCAAACCAGTCAGTAAGAATTTAGAAAGAGGTACAGCGGCCTGGAAATGGGTCTCATCTAGTCCCCTCATCTGAGAAAGAAAAACAACATTTACACGGATCCATCTCCATGTGGGTGTTACCACCTCTGGGCAAGTGGTCCTGGATAGTGTAAGAAAGCAGGCTGAGCTAGTCATGAAGAACAAGCCAGTCAACAGCATTCTCCATGATCTCTACATCAGCTTCTGCCTCCAGATCCATGGCCTGTTTGACTTCCTGCTCTAACTTCCTTCAGTGCGACTGTGAGCTGAAAGTTTTAAGATGGAATAAACCTTTTCTTCCCCAGGTTGTCTTTGGTCATTTTTGTCACAGCAAGAGGAACCTAACTAAAACTGATATTCCTACTGATAGGAAGCCCTGGAGGACTCCCGACTTACTAGGGTAATTCTGATAATTACTGAGATTAAAGACACTACTGTAGGTCCAGGAAATGTATTTGAGAGTATCCTGCCAGGCGACAGAGAGGTCATGCAGGCCCAGGAAATGGGTGCAGGGGTGGCTTCACCTCTTGTGCGCTGGGCCTGCCAAGGTTCTGAAGGCATTTTTAGCACATCAGTCACCTGACCTCCTGAGAAGGTTCAATGAGGTCCAATCAAAGTGGGAATGTGTCTCAGCGGTGGTGACAGAGAGAGCAGCAGGACAAAGGCCTGAGCAGCAGGCTGAGGATGGCCATGCCCATCCTGTGGAAGAGGCCATTTCTGGGGGTACTGATATAGATGTGGATGATGACCAGGAAGATGGTGGCCAGTGAGCGCCCCAGAAACATTCCAACGGTGATGATGGAGTCCTGATGCACCCAGACCCGGATACCCCCAGATGCAGTCACACTGGGATTACAGCTCCAGCTGCAGAGTTTCAGGGAAGACGTGAGTTTGTCCCTAACAGGGAACCCAAAAACATATTCGATAGAAGACAGGAAGACATCGAAACCTGTGCGCTTCTTCACTCACATACAGGCGTAAGGGGGAGTCCTAGGCAGTCTTGTCATCACAATACGTGAGTTTAGGACAGAGATTCAAGCCCAACACAGTGAGGGTGGGAGACTGACCAGAGGGAAAAATGGCTTTGAAATGGTCCAGAGTTTGCAGTATTACGGGGAGAGATCGGTGGTGCCGGGAAAGTCTGACTATCACGAAGGGGAAGAATCTTGAGAGTAGCCTGGGAGGACAAAGACATGCTGACCAAAGGGACAGCTGTCATTTCAGAAACAACCGGGGAAACAGGGAGGGAACAAATAACCATTGCCCTGCAGCTGCGCCCCGTCAGCTTTCCATGGGAATCAAACACAGCTGTGCGTGAGTGGCTGCAGACTGTGTACAAAACCGCTCTGGGGTCAAACAAGATAGGGCTCAAGTTCTAGATTTCTAAGTTGAGGGAGGAAATGAGGCACTGTCCAGAAGCTCTCGTGTCTAACAGGGGGAGGACAGGAAGTTTAGCTTTTGTCTACTAATTCGTGTTATATTTTCTGGTGAGCATGAAAGATTAAAAATTGAGTGTTTGATTTTGAAACTGGTATAAGAGAGGTACATGGAAAAAGAGGTCTGTGAGAGAGTTAGATAGGGAGACCAAAACACTCAAGATAAAATAAGGTGAGTCTGAGTTTGGTCCCCAGAAACCCAAATGGCACAAGACAGACCTGACTCCATAGTTATCCTCTGATGGCCACACATGTGTGGAGGCCTGTCCTCCCCTAATGAACAGATAAACAAATGTCAAACAGTTTAAAATGATACAAGTCAATGCCAATATATTAGTAGTCTTAAGCGGTGTGAATGGATTATACTTTCTAGCTAAAGATGACTAGAAAAATAACCCACTTTAGTTTTGAAACACATCTGGTGGGGCTGAACGTAGCTATCAACAAACCCCAAAACACATGAAACAAAAATTAATAGTTTTAGAGATAAAATAGTAAAGCCAGTAGAAAAGGAACATAGAACACACTGTAGAATCCAAAAGATCACAGAAGAAGACGGGACAGAAACCTGCCCAGAGCAGGTCTGCCCTAGCGAACCCAGACGGAAGTGCCTATTCTCTAAGCACTGTGAGACAGGTGTGAAATCTGACCATGTCTGTACTACAACACAAGCCCTGATGAATCTGAACAATTCAATCTTCTATGGTCCTATTCTCTGACTAGAGGTCAACCATAGGAGGGCTCAATAATAAAAGCAAAATTTAAAACCATATATGTTAAAAGAAAACCTCACATGTCAGGGAGAAATCAATTAAAACCAGAAAATACACTCAAATCAACATTTTCTAATGGTTTAAAATTAGGTCATTTGATCACTGTAATCTTGTGAGCCACACATAACCCACAGTATCTGTGTTCAATACAGCACAAATGGAAATTATGCAACTGAAATCTGTTATAGAAAAATATGTAACAAAAATGATTTGGAAAGGAGGGGAAAATGACAACAGGAAGGCAAACCAACTGACTCTTGTAGAAACTGAGCTACAAAAAACTTCATACGGTAACAGGTAAAGCTTCAAAACTCTATCCTGGTCTACACTCCTTAGAAAGGTATATGCTATATACAAATTTAGGAGGTACAGGATCTGTTATCTGTGTGTGGCTCAGATGAAGAACCAGAAGTCTTTGCTGTGCTGTGTGTGCGGTGACAACCGCACACATGCCCATGGCCACAGAGAATTCTGATTTGGTGACAGCAGCTATTAATGGTGTGGTGGTCACTAACAGCATGCCAAAAAGTGCCTATGATACAAAGAGGATTTTTACTTGCGGCCCCCTCCCTTCCCTTTTCACGGGTGGGATATTTTTGGCAGTGTTCTTTTCCATCCACCGAGAGAGAATTAAGAAAATTCCAGCATGCTTCTGTGTCAGCAAGGGCGCCTCAGTCCGGGACCACAGGATGATTGATGAACCTGTCAGGCCCACGGTAGCAGACGCAGAAAGTTGGCAGAAGTTCAGTGTTACTGAAAGAAATCTCAAATACTTATTTCATCTCCTCTATTAGCTTTAATCACATTTCAACATGAGCCAAGAATGAAGCTTTCACAGGCGGCCATACATTCGCACAGGCCAGCACTGTCAGTTTCCTGCTGTGAGAACACTGAGATAACAGAGGGGAGTTAGGAATTTTCCTGCTTGCCTTTCTTTACTGGAGAGCAACACAAAACACTACAAAGACTCATCTGCGCCTCGCATCCACTGGCTACACATCTCCTCAAATGACTGCATGACCTTCTGTTTAGTTTACAGCAAATTCAACTCTGTGTGCTTCCTCCTTAGGTGAGGTGCGGGCGTGCAGAAGATCACAGTGGTGACGAGCAGTGGCGTTCCATCCAGCACACCTGCTGGAGATCAGCTGTTAATACGAAGAGGTTTACCTCTAACACAGACCGTGTGCTGTGTGGACGAGCATTTCTGGCCCACCCAGAGCCCATCTTCCATAGTCTGGGCTGGGGGAACTTCTGGCAGATTCTGCTGACTACTTACTGAGCAGGAGAAGCATGAGCAGACCTCAATCTTTGGAGCTCTTGCCCACGGTGAAATGGATACAAAAGCAAGGCAAGTACTATGGGCAAGATAATGGTTCTTGGAGCGGAAAAAGTCAAAATACAGTTTGGTGAGATTTTTCTCCTAAGCATAGTTTAGAAGATGAAAATATTAAGCACTACAAGGCCATCAATCATGTATGTCTTGTCACCCAGTGAAACACATGGCATTGCACTGCCAAATTTGGTGTTTCCAAGCAAGCTGTTCAAAGCCCACTGTGGCATCTCTGTCACAGAAGAGGCTATCCTGACCCTTCCCCAGGGATGCTGGGCTGGGCAGCTATCACACCTGTCATTTAATCCACAATGACAAACCATTTACCCTTGGTGAAAATGAAGTGGACTCTTGCAGAAATCTACATGCACAGCTCTCTAAGCTAATCACTGAAAAGAAGAACAAATGTGATTAGCAATAAAGTTGTCCCATTTCCCCTCCTCTTCTTCAAATGACCACATTGAGGCACATAAGCACTCTTCTTCCACTGCACATCTGTCTGGCTGCAGCAGTTTCTCTTCAGACCTAAGAGTGCCACTGAGTGTATTGCTAACCTGAAGGAGAGGCTACGCGGTGTGGGGGGATTTGGGGGAAGCCAGTGCTTTCTCATCCATCTGTCTCTGCAGATCAAATTCTTAAAAGGTGGAAAACTTCGCCAAGTCTTTCTCCATCTCGGCATATTGGTCCTTGAGCCTCTCCATGGCCCTCCTGTGCTCGTCATCCACCTGCGCTCTCCGCTCTGGCTGTCCTTTCATGAATTCCTCCCATTGGAGCAGGCGCTGCTTCTCACTAGCTGTCAAGTGCTCATTAATCACCTGAGAAAAGAAAACACGAAAGCCACATGGCGTCTTCCAGACACATGTAGAACCACACAGAGAACTTTATCAACTGACAGTCACTATGACAACCAGCAGATAGTCACAGAGCTCAAAGTTTCAACATCCACTAGAGCATTATACATGAGGCCTGCAACCCCGCTTGGGAGGTGAAGACTGTGAGTTCAAGACCAGCCTGGGGTACAGAGTGACCTTGCCTCAAAAACAAACAAACAAACGTATGCTGTCCGAACCATGTAAAACTTTCCTTACTGTAAATGAACATGGATACTCACGTTTCTACAATTTCTAAAATGTTCAGCGTCCTATGGTGCTAGTGACTGGAACTGGCACTGGGGAATGAGCTCAGAGTCCAGAGCTCACTGGGCAAGTGCTCTGCCACCAGCTGCCTTCAGGGGTCCAGTCTCATTAAATAACAATTTTTTTTCACCCTTTTCTTTCTCTCAAAGTTCTGATTAATTATATATTGTTTTAATCAAGTCTAAAAATCTATACTGAAAAGTCACTGTAAGAAGTTAAAATAACTAGCAGTTGCTGGAGAACTTAAGACATTTTCTGGTTCAGTCTAGTTTTTAAAGTGATATCACCATCTTATGTCAAATATCTAAGTTATTTTCAAGATGGCTTTTTAACATTTCTACACCAATAAAGGTTTGCTTTCTTTTGAGTACAAAAAATTACAGATAAAATACTACAGAAAGAAAAGGATTTGGATTCAGACTAAGTTCTATGAAACAAGCTCCAGAACCTATGACAAATAGAGAGAATATGTAAAGTCCTTCTAAATCCCTGTATACCAATTCCAGAAAGCCCAAGAGAGTTCCAAAATAAGATAGGTTATTACTGCTGCTTGTAGTTATTTCCCAAAGACTGAAGGTAAAGCTGAATTGCCACGTACTTCAGATACAGACTTGGAAGGTTTGAGCTGAATCTGACCTCCTTCCTGAGGTCTCCCAGAGGTCGTATGCAAGCTGTCGAACGAGGAAAGCATCTGACGGCTGTGGACCGCAGCCCTGACCAGCGCGGCAAGACAACCCCACAGGCGCAGCGGCGGGACTAACCCGGGCCGTAACCAGTAGCTGTCCAAGTGAGCTCCAGCTACAGGTCACTGCTCTCCTGATCAAAGAAGCTTTCCTGCAGCAAGACCCACAGCTCGGCAAAACGAAGACGACAACTGACCATGGGGTGCCCAACCCCAATTAAGCCCTCTACAGCCCAACTGCTACACCGAAGACTCAGAGAACATCTCAGAAAAGGACATGGAAAGCCTGAACAAGCCAAAGGACCAGAGAGTCTGCTGTGAGACTGTGCCTCCTAGAAATGACTAGGAAGCTACGCCCATGACATCTCAACAATACGGCTACCTAAAAAAAAAAAAAGACCTGAACAGGATAATACCAGTCAACATGCTGACAGGAAAGGGGAAACATCTCATCATGCTCTAACCCTAGACAGTGAACTGCAGGCAACTAATGATTGCTAAGAGCATTAGAATTAAGTCTTTCCCAGGATGAGCCCTGTGATTGGTGTTCAATACCCCTGAAATCAACACTAAATAGACCTAGCAGGTTGTATTTATTTATTTACATGTTTATTCACACACACACATATGTGCATCAGCATATTTATCAGAAAAAGAAGCCATGAATTTGAGAGGGAGGGAGGGGGCTGGAGGGAGGAAAAAGAAAAGAGGAAATAGCGTAATTATAGCTTAATTAAAAATGTTGAAAGGAGGCCAGAGAACACAGTGTAAACGGAACGCTAACGCAGAAACTAGGGAAACGTGAGCTGTTTCTAGCGAGGGGGCATATGCTCTCAGCACCCAAGAAATTCACCCCAAAACTACCTGCTCGGTGTAGCCTCCCAATTCTAAACGTCCCTCTTGTAGCCTCATACTATCCCATTTTACAGACAAATAAATGAAGGCTTAAGCACACACCTGTAGCTCTCGTTGTCCCTCACCTAACAGCTGGGCTGCTGTTTAGCCTTTCCTACCATGGGTGACAGCAGGTCTCTGGAAAGGCAGTTTTACACAGGCTGCTAAGCACTCCTTTTACAAGAGAGAAAAAGGCTCTGGCTACAGGTTTTCTGCCAAGTTTGTCAACATTTTCAAGAACCAAGAGTTTTCAAGTAAGAATTAAAATGACTGTGAAGATGCGGTTTTGTTAAACGTTCCCCTGAAATATGCTGCACAGAACACTGGGATGTGAGTAGCCAGTGGAGAGGTGGGAAGGAAGGGCTACTCAAGGGTTCCAGCGTCCAGTGCATTTGTGAAACAATTTAAACAACCATTTTAATGGCACATTATTGTTTTAAGTTGTTAGTCTTTCAGGCTGGAATTCTCCAAAAACTGAATAAAACATAAAAAGTTTGTTAAATTACTTTGAAGAAAAATTTGAAAACAAGACAAAAACCACAAAAACTCTGAGGGTCTAAGGGAAAGCCACATGCTAAGGAGAAAAAAATATAAACACTTCATGAAATGGCACCTTGTTCAACTTTATTTATTTACTTATTGTGTGCCACCTTGTCAGCCCTAATCTTTCTGTTTAATAAATACAGGGACTATTAGCACACGCTCAGATGTCAGCTTTCTCCTTTCTTTGTTAATGAAAAACCGTAATGGCTTAGCTGGTCTTTTGATTTGTTCCATGAGGCAGCTGCTGCCTAGGCTGCCCTCCCTAGCCAACAACAGCCAGTCAGTGCAGCTCAGTGGAGAGAATGGAAGGCAGCACAGGAGCCTTGTCTCGAATTTAGGACCATGGGCCACCAGCTGCATGACACTGATCACGTTAAAGAACTGAAGAAAACCATGTTCGTGAACAAGGCTCATGAAGACTGGAGGCAATGCCTGTTAAGCTCCTAGCTCAGTGCCTGGGTACTTACCAAAAGGTAAATATTACTATCCAAGTCACAGGAAGCTTCTAGAAAGCATACCACACCACTGTTTTCCCCTGCCAGTTCAGTGTTTGTTACTTCATTTTAATGTAAGTTTTTAGCAATGGGGTTTTGAAACAATTCAAACAACACAGCTATCTCAGGTAAAGTCACAGCCCTCCCACCTGTGTGTTCAACTCATTCTACCTGATGTACAGATCTGCAACTCTACCACTCAGAGGTGGCGGCAGAAGGATCAAAAGGTTCAAGGTCATCAGCTGCTACACATCAAGTTTGAGGCAACGCCCAACTAAGTTCAAGGCCCATCTGAGTATACCTATATGACCTATCTGGAGGAGTTTAATTCCTACACTGTTAGCCACACGGCTGTTAAAAAGATTCTCAGTAAAGCCAGCATCAAAGATCAGCACTCTAATTCTTAAAAAAAAAAAAAAAAAAAGTGTGTGTGCGCTCATGGGTGCGTGCGTGTGGGTGTGGGTGTGGGTGTGAAGTCAGTGTCCTCGGAGGCCAAAGGCTGATCCCTGGAGCTGGATTTATAGGAGGTTGTGAGCGGGGCACTGTCGGGGTATGTTTCTCTCTTTTCAAATTTATTCATTTATTTATTTATTTTTACTTATGTGTGTGTGTGTGTGTGTGCCTGTGTAAGGGTTCCCTTGGAGACAGAAAGAGGCATTGGGTCCCCTGGATCCAACAAGGAGGCGTGAGCTGCCTGAAGGGAGTGCTGACCTAAATTCTGGTCCTCTGGAAGCCAAGCAGGGATTCTTAACCACTAGGCCTTCTCAAAAGGAGTATGTTTTCTTAAGCAATAATCCATCTCTTCAACCCCAAGTATTTCTATTTTGCAGGTTCAGAATATTGTATACTAAATATATAAATATTTATATATATATAAATATATAAAAAATATATATATTATGTATATACATATATATAAACACATACATACATACAAAGATACAAGGAGCATTTTGCTATCAGGCCAAGCATTCCTTGAACTCAAAGGCAGTTGACCATTAAGTTGAAAGCTGACAACTCCCAACCCAAATGAAGATCTGTGGCTTTCCTACCAAGTCACTCTACTTTCCTCTGCTTAATCTCCTGCTTTCAGTATGTTAGTTACGTCTCATGTACTGACAATGCTCTTAGTGAATGAAACTGAGCTAACTGGAAAGCTCATCAACTGAAGCTTGGCTGAGGTTATGACTTATAAAGCTGAAGGAAAAAAGAAGCTATGTGGTCTATCTACAAATATTGCTGTTTTCAGAAGATCCTGGGCATAAGTGTCCAATATCAAACACACTGTGTTTGCCAGCTAACAAGAAGAAAGGGCTCATCAATGAGATGGGAAGAAATGCTATCAGCACAGAAGGAGAAGGAGCAAACACTCCAACATGAGACCCCCTGGATTCTGGTCTACACAGAATTTGCCTCATTATCTTCTGCTAAGAGAAATACTATGCTTATCATAATATAAACTTTTAAATAATATTCAATTCTACAGAAAATTAACCTGAAATATACAATACTTCAAAAAGATATATATATATATATGTGTGTGTGTGTGTGTGTGTGTATGTATGTATGTATGTATGTATGTATATATATGTTATGGTTGCTTCTCAAAAAAATAGACATAGAATAACCATGTGACTCATCAATTCCATTCTGAGATATTTGCCCAAAAGAATTAAAGGAAAGGCCATGACTAGATATTTGTAAACCATGTCAATGGCAGTATTATTTGGGACAGTCATGGGTGAGTGAGTCAGCTATACAGATTTATAAAGTGTAGTATGTGTGAGTATGTACATATATACACACAAATGTAGTACATGAATATTTATTATATACATACATGACTGCGTGCCTATTCAGCCTTAAAAATGACAAATTCTGTAGCATACCACCATGTGAATGAGTCCTGAAAACCGAATTCTGAAGAAATAAGCCATCCTGGGCTAGAGAGATAGCTCAGGTAGTAGTGTGCTTACCTGGCTGTAATCTCCAGCACCACTACAAACCAAAACAACAAGAACCGAGCAGAGGAGACTGGAGATACAGGTCTGTAATTTTACCACTCCCAGGTGGAGGCAGAAGGGTCAAGAGGTTCAAGGTCATCGTCTGCTACACATCAAGTGAGGCCATGCCCAACCATATAGTGAGTTCAAGGCCCATCTGAGTATACTCATATGACCTATCTGGAGGAGTGCAATTCCGACAGACAGAAAGTCGAATGCTGGATGCCAGGATGGGGGTGGAGGATGAGTCAGTGTTAACGAGTACTGAGTTTCATGGCTTAGAAAATTAGTTAATGTGCTTCAATTATGCAGCCAAGGTCAGTGGCTATAATAACATTTCTATCTACTTGGTCAAATGAGCGAATTAAGTTACAACAGGAAGAGTAAGGTTAATAATAAACTGGCTTTTACTAGTATCACATTAGAGACATTTAAGTGGAAAATGACCCTGAAACTAAGCACATCTAGACCCACGTCTGTGAACGAGGCCTGCACACACAAGAGAAACACTTTTGCGCGTTACTACTCTAAGCCAGAAGTTCTCTTCATCTTGAAGAGATGTTTGGCATGGGAACACAGGATGGGAGAGATGTTACTGGCAGCTGGCAGACAGAAGCCAGTGCCAAGGACAGCCCCATGGAGACCCCATTACACATCTGGTCTACAGTGCCAGCGGCACCCAGGCTGGGGAACTCTACCAGGGGAAACTCTCAACAGGGCAACTGAGATTGGGAAGGTCTTGGGGAAGCCAACATGATGGGCAATGCCTGTAATCCTGGCCTCTGGGGGCCGAGGCTAGCCTGAGGGGCCCCGTGACGTCAGGACGATTCTGAACATCTGTTAGTAACACACATAAGGACAATGACTTCCGTAAGAAGTGTCCGTACAAAAACTATTACAAGTCTTTTTCCTAGAGCCATATGTGCTCATGTTACTGCACTTTCCAGTTTTGCTTAGAACAACAGTCACATTCAAACTCTATCACCAAGGCTCTGTGTGACGCCACTGCTCTCAGGACAGCGTCATAAAGGAAGCTGGCTGAACTTGTTGTCTGTAGTCAAGAAGAGATAGAAGCCCTCCCTCACAGTCCATTCCCTGTCACTGGGATGGCTGGACATGACTGCCAAGTATATGTGTGTGCATGGAGCCAAGTCTACCCCCTGGCCGCTGTCCCTGGCTGCCTCACCTCTCCATGGCCCGTTTTTTAAGAGCAAGTAGACTTCACAAGCCACTGTATTTTCAGTTCACTGTTCTGTTAGTACCCAGAACACAACTCTGTGTTAGGGTAGTTCTTAAGACACATTGAACAACTGCTGAATGGGCATATATTGTTCTCTTGAATGTGCTTTTAGATATCAATTGTGGGAAATGGGATTTGGACAAATGATGCTTATCAATTTACTTCCCACAGAATTCCACAAATTGTCTTAACATAAAAGAATTACTGATTAATGTTAACAGCCTATTTTATTCCATTACTACTCCCATCTTTCTTTGTTCAGGGTGCCTTTCAAATATATAAAATGTGGCCAAAAGGATAACCCAAGGCAACGAATAATATTAGGCAGTAAAGTGCAAATAAGGATCATTTTTCATCTGTACATACTTGCTGTACAAGGAACTAAGTTTTACCTTTGTGACAAATGTGTGTGTATGTTTGTGTGTTTATATGTGTGCGTGTGTATGTATATGTGTGCATGTATGTATCTGTAGTGTGTGTATGAATGTGTTATATGTATTGCATGTGAATATGTATGTATGTTATGTGTGTGACGTGTGTGTGTGCGTGCATCTACTAAAACGTCAGCCCTGTCTAACTTTCAGGAGGAGGTAAAGTGGCAGCAAAACCAAACAAACAACTTTAAGAACCTGTAGCACACACTTCCAATGCTCTGGTACTCAGGCAAGTATAAAACTAAAAAATTTAGGGCTTAGACTAAAGGTTTATCCCTGTAAGAATGTAAGGAATTCTCATTTAATGGCTGGTCTGTGAAAATGCACCTCTTTCACAACTTCAAGGTTGTTTATTTATTAAGCTATCTGAAGAGAAAAAAACCCAGAGTAGTTCCTGGGTTTTTTTGCAAGGTCTACTGGCTCTATACTTAGCCTTGGTGAAATGGCATTTCAGTATATTCAAAAACACTAATTTTTTTTAAAGATTTATTTATTTACTATGTATACAGATCTCATTCTAGATGGTTGTGAGCCATCACGTGGTTGCTGGGAATTGAACTCATGACCTCTGGAAGAACAGTCGGTGCTTTTAACCTCTGAGCCATCTCTCCAGCCCCCCAAAACACTCATTTTTAAAGTCAGTCATGGAGAATAAGTATAAATCACAGAACTTGGGAACTAGAAGCAGGAAGACCAGGAGTTCAAGGCTATCCTTTGCTACAGAACAAGCACAAGGCCAGCTTGAGCTATGTCAGATTCTGTCTCAAAAAACAAAGCAAAATGTGTAGCCAGCATTCTACCAGATACTGTTTCTCACAAACAGAAATGCTCTTGTGCCCCAGTGACAAAGTGTGCAACACAGGAGTCAAGATCCTCCACACTCACCCAGAGCTGTCATTTAGATCCAAACCAGCTGGTCACTGCTTTCTCCTATCTTTGCTGATGTCCTCTCCTTACCCTCTCACAGCCGCCTTCTACCCACCAGCAACTGAACTCTTCTTGGCAACTGGGGTTAGGCATGGGCAGTCACAGCTTCCTAACCACACCTTTTGCTAAGATCACATGAGGCTCCTGTAACTTGGCCCTGGTGCACACTTTGGCCTCTTTTTCTTAGTATTCATGGGTTTAAGACTCCAGAACTTTGGCTGCCTTAACCTTAGCAAACAAGAAAGTATTTAGCCCTGGTGACAGTTGGTAAAGCACACGACTGAAACGTATCTGCTCTCCATGCTGGCGTGTCCACTCCAGTCCCTGCCGTCGGTTCACTCAGCACTGTGCTGGCATTCCTCTGTAGGTGTTATGTGCATGAGTGCTCTGCCTGCATCAGCACATGCATGCAGCGCCTGAGGAGGCCAGAAGAGGGCACTGGATCCCTTGGGGCTGGAGTAACTGCCAGTTGGAGCCACCATGTGGTTGGTAGGAGTTGAACCCGGGTCAGCTGGAAGAGCAGCCAGTGCTCTTAACTGCTGAGTCATCTCTCCAGCCCCATCTTTCACTCTTTTAGTCAGTGTATCATAGAAAATGAGTCCAGAGACTTTCAGACTAAAAGTAACTGCTAATAGTATAATAACAGATGCCAAGAATTATGTATCCCTTTGCTCAGGTCACCTACTTTACCTTTTTCCGTTCCTGTTCTCTCTGTTGGAGTCTGCCGATGGAGTTATTAGCTGCTTGCACTGAAATAAAACAGACAGTGGGATTTCAATAGTGGCCTCTGCTCAGAAAGACACCTATTTGGATTCTTTAGATCTCAATGGAATATATTAAACATAGATATTAACTGCTAGTTGGAGGGGGTGGCTAGAGGAAAAGTACATTTTGTCAACACATTCAGGGCAGTAGAGCTAGAAAAACCACCACTTTTGAGCTCTGAGCTGTAACTCAAAGGCATAGAAACACTAAGCCCTGACAAGTCGGCAACAGCCACCTAAACTGATACTCTCTGAAAAGGGAGAACGCCAGATGAACTTACAGTCCTGTTCAGATCAATTAAGCCTATGGTCTGAGCCTCTCGGCCACTCCCTGTCTCTCTCTCTCTCATGCTGCTGTTCTCTCACAGGCAAGGCTTGACCCCTCGATGGCCTCCACAGCTTTCCATCACTCTTTTTGCCTCTGCTCCTGCCTTCTAACTCATCCTGGTGGTGCCTCAACATTTACTTCTCCCCAGCTTGAAAATTCACCAAATCATTTCCAAGCACACTCCCACCGCAGGACTTCTGCACTTCCTGATCCCCTGGAACAATTTTCTGTCAATTTTCCTACAAGTGTCCAACCCAGTGTCATACTCATTTTACAAATGAGGAACTAACAACAGGACTTCAGGATGGATATGACCACTCACGAGAAAGCAGAGTAAACAGGCCTGCTAAGAGATTACATATATGAATAAGAATCATGTAACAGGGCTGGAGACATGGCTACACAAGTGTGAGGACCTAATTTGGATTTCTAACTGCTGCTCCTGCAAGCCCAACACTGAGGGCAGAGACAGTCTAGCCAAAACTCCAAGACTCAGGTTCAACGACAGACTCACAACAGCCTGGTCTACAGAGTGGGCTCCAGACCAGCCTCTGCCACAGCAAAGACCTTATCTCAAAAGCAAAAACAAAGAGCAGCTCTTCACCCACGCTCAGCATCGAGTAATGGTGTGCTGAGTGCCCTGTTCCCTCCGCCGCCCTCACACAGCGCTTTCTCCTCCTGTCCCTGTTTTCACTGTGACTCTCCTTCAGCAGAGGCACACCCCTACAGGAACACCTGCTCTTATAGCTGCTGAAGCTGGAAGCCATCTAACTGTCTGTCTTCCTTCCCCTGCGAGGGCTGGCCCAACCAGGTCCACACTAGAGCAGGGACAGTGATTTCTCTCTGAGAAATCTGTGAAGCCTCCACTTCCTGGATGCAGTCAGCACATCTCATTTTCAGAAGCTGCGTCCTCAGGACTGTTAACAAACTTTCCTGGATCTCAGAAGATATCTATGGACTGAGCATTAGCTTCCCAATCACTTTTTTTTCTCCTTAACGAAAGCATGAAAACCAAACAAGAGGAGCTGATTAGATCTGCCTTCTTCCTGTGGCAGTATGACATCATCAGTTATAATCATGGTGCTATCGTTTCCTGCCTGTCTTTTTTCCTTCCTGGCTCTGTGAGCAGGTCTTAAAAGTCTGTTTTTCTGTCTTCAGGTCCTCTGCATTTTTGGATCTCCCTGAGTGCAATTTGGAAGAAGAGCTGAAGAAGGACCAGGTTACTTTTGCTGCCACCTGTCACAGCACCCCACCCCAGGTTATAATTACATCATTTCTCCCTCCCCTTTTCCCCTTCAGGGCTGAGCATTTGGTATTGAATGACCAACTGACGTGCTCTTCTCTGGGAAGACTATTTCTCCTGCTCTCAGCATTCCTTAGCTGCCTGTAGATTTGCGCTGAGGCCTTGTGGGCCTTTCCCAGTCCACCTTGGCATGTCTGCTGATGTCATCCATGTTCAGCTCATGTTTAAGCTGTCGTGTAGATGACACTTTATGGGTGTAGCTTCTGACATCGACAGGCAACAGTCTCATAGCAAATGCCCTGAGCCCCTGGCTCTTACGGGCTCTTCCCCCCCTTCTTCTTCAGTGTTCCCTGGGCCTTAGCTTTGGAGTGTTACGTAGATGAACCCATTGGGACTGGGCTCTATAATGTGCGTTTAGCTGGCTGTGGTCGTCTGTGGTGGTCTGTCTATTGTAAAATGAGGTTTCTTGGATTAGGCTTGAAGACTCCACTCATCTGTGAGTTATTATAGCCTTTAAAAACTTCCTTCAGACGCACATGACAAGTCTACACTTTGGTTCCTCTACAGAACTGTCTCCATGTTTGGAAAAAACATCTACCCATCTTCAGAATTTGATTCCCTGTGAAGTTACCCACATTTCAGCCACGAAGCTGCATAACAGAAAACTTTTCTTTCTTAATTTCATTTTGCAGGCACGTGCACTCCAACAGGTCAAAGGACAACTCTGAATTTTATTCTCTTACTCTACTATATGGGTTCCAGGGATTGAACTCAGGTTGTCAGGCTTAGCAGCAAGGGCCTTTCCCACACGGAACCATCTCACAAACTCAGAAAAGGCTTTTCTGAACTTGAAATTTGTCTCTCTAAAAACTAAAATAAACAAATAAAGTCACCTGACTACTCTAAACATTCCCTTCCTCAATGGTCAGTGAGACCAAGAGAAGGCCGATTCTATAGAGGCTACCCCTCACTTCCTATCACCTTCCGGCTCTACCCTTCAGCAGGAAGCACTCTCTTCTGCTAGCTGTTCCGGGAGGTTGTACTGACTTGTGAAAAATAACAGTCACTTACCAAATGCCCCCACCTGAGACAGGGTCTCAAGTCGCCAAGGTTATCCTCACATTCACCAAGGATGGTTTTAAGCTCCTGATGCTCTTGGCTTAATCAGCTGCCTCAGTGCTATGCTAATGGGCAAGTATATATGCTACATCGGGCAAATGTCTTGTAATTTTTCCAAAAGGTTACTGAAGAGTAACTATGTAGCCTGGCAGAGTTACTATGCTGCACTTAGCTAGCAATGTCTTGATTTGCTTCACAGAAAAGAGAAACAAATTCTATCTTTCTATGTGGAAGCTTCTACACATGCAGCAATAACCTCTCAGACTAGTATTAGAGCAGATGAGAGCTGTGCTCTCAGCCCTTGATTTGAAGCAGGTAAATAGAGAGCAGCAAGAAAGTGCTAAACACTGACCGGCTCAAGTACAGTGGAGGAAAGTCCCTGAGCAAATGATCTCTGTTTCAGTGGAGAGGACGGGGCAATGTGCAGATACGTATTTAGCATGTCAGCTGGTGACAGAGGGATGGGTTAAAATGCAAGGCAGAGAGTGCAGGAATGCCAAAAGGAAGGGTATGAGGAATGTCTCAGAGGCCAAGAAAGGTCTTACAATTGATGCCTGAGCAGGTACTCACAGGAGACTTGAGAGAAGAACGTTCTAGGGGAAGCTGCAAGTGCAAAGGCCCTATAATGGGGGTGTGCTTGGGACATCAAAGTGAGAGTGAGGAGGTCAGTGTGGCCGGGACACAATGAGGGAAAAAGTGGCAGGATATGCAGTCAGAGTAGGGGAACAATGTCGAGGCTCCCAGGGTATGAGAGAATTTTGGTTTTTAATCTACAGAAGCAGAAAAGATTCTGACTTACATCCTATGTGGAGACCAGCCTACAGGGAAGAAAGAGAAGAATAAAATATGAGTCCTGAAGTTACTAGAAGAATCTACAAGAGGGGTGACGGTGGTGCACGCCAGGGTGGGAGCAGCCAGTGGGAAGTGGGCAGGATGTTCCTGTTACACTCTCAAAGCAGAGCCGGTTTGATGTTTGCTGTGGACGAGCTGCCCCATCTGAAATGCTCAGACATGTAAGAGTGCAGGGCATCTAGATACAGACTCTGGGGTTCTCGGGGGTGGGAAGAGGGGTGCAGACCAGGATGAAAACAAATACGACATTAACTAGTATATGGATGATATTTAAAGCTGTGATTCTATGAGGTCAGCCATAAAATAAAACATGAGGTGAGTGAGAGCAGAAAGAAAGGCAAGATAGAGGAAGGAGAGAAAACAGTGAAAAGGGTGAAGATGAATAGGGGGAGGAATTGAAAAGTGTGTCAGGGAAAGCCTTCCCTGCTGTTGACGTGCTTTGTAAATTTGTATACTTTGTCAACCTTAAGGCAGGAAAGTAGCCAGGCCTGAGTAGCTCCAGTAGCCAGGCCCTGCTCCCCAAATGTTACTAATTGCGGCCCTAACAGTCATTTTCTCCCCAGGAAAGAGAGCGCCTGTACCCTGCCCTACAAGAAAAATCCCACCAATCCCTGAACAGGAAAACCCACCAATCCCTAAGCTCCCCCAAGCTCAGGACTTTAAGATGCTTTAATCTATAGAACCACGACTGCGAGTGAGAAAAAAACAGAATATATGAGACAACAATACAAGGCATCTATTCTTTAAAAGCAAAGACAGAGAAAAGCAACAGCACTCCCATTGTTTCCTTGCCATGCTAAAGAATGCTGTTTTGGTAAGAGACCAAATGCGACAACAAAACACAGATGAAAGGGAAAATGAGACTGTACAGCTAAAGAAACACTGAGCTCAGCAGTGTCATCATAGATGCAAAGGAAGAGGAAAAGGAGAGGGTCCAGATGTGGTGCACACAGGGTGCACCCCGAACTCAAGGCTGGACTAGGAGGTGTGCCATTATCTTCAGAGCAGCTTAGGCTATATAGCTGGGCCTTGTCTCTAAAACACAACCAAACCAACCCAAAATGAACACAACCAAACCAAACCAAAATGAGTCATGTAAGCAAGTACTGGCAAAGTTATCACTGTGGAGCAGAAAGCAAACACTGCCAAGCTGCACAAAGCTGAACTCCATAGTGAGAGGGCAGGCAGAGAGAGGGATGTGGTCAAGGTCCCATTCCAGACATCCTTCAGCTGTAACCGGCCAGCTCTCCTGGAGAGGCATTCACTAATGCTGCCAACAGCTGAGACAATGCAATAACAGGGGGAAGAATGTGGGTGCATCTTCTGGAGCATTTATCTCATTAGCCTCCTTAGTACAAGCTTCTCGTAACTACTGCCTGACCTGTAAAAGCACTTGTCGTCAGCTATTGCCTTTGGGCTTACCTTATTTTTTGTTCTGTCAAAATGTAAATGAAATTGTAAAAATGATGGATCCCATTCCTAGTCTCCCAGCATAGGTCCCCTCACCTTCTCCTTCCGTCTCTAATCACCCAACTGTCAGAGTACACATGCTGCTCTAAGACTCCACTCCAGCAGGGGGCCTCTTTCCTACTTCCCGCACAGGCTGGCTTTGCCCCCTCCTCACCAGCTGACTCCAGCTGACTTCGGTCATCAGTGATTCTCCCTCCGCGGGCAAGCTGCAAGTTCTTAGTGCAGACATCGAGGAGAGGCCTTGACGGCCTGATATTTTAGCACCACACAGAAACAACATGTTTCTTTCATGTTAAAGTCTAATATTGAAGAACATCGACAAATATTCTTTAGTCAGCTGCCTCTTCTCATTAAAAAGTAACGCTTAGTGAGAAACTGATAAAATGTAAACACTTATAAAGGGCATTTGAAAAAGAAACATTTCCAGGTCATCATATATTTTCTTATAGATAAAATTGAAAAATTTTTAAAGGCAAAAAGTATCAATTTTCTCCCATCCCAAAGAGCTCACCTTGTGAGATGCTTGCACACGCATCTTAATTTGAATACTGACGCCAGTGACACGAGTGACCAACTACACGCGACAGCCACTGTGTGTGGCTGGCTTCCCTCTGGTGAGCCCCACTCAGGAGAACACACGTGGGTATGGGATCATGTAACGCAAAGGCTGCAGGACAGCGCTAGACTTACATCTCTGCAGGGCCTCCGCCAGGCCGTCCTGCATGGTCTCTTTGCACTTGGGAAGCATGTGTTCATTTGTTTCCTGGATCATATTCTTCAAGTTCTCAAGAACTCGCAATTCTCGAAGACCACGTTTTTCCTATTAAGAAAAAGTAAATGACTAGTATCTCCAGTGTTAGCAATGACTGTCGTTCCAAGAGGACAGGACTGTGACGCTATTACATTATTATTACTGGACACACATGCCTTCTTTTAATTCTCTGGCAGAAGAGGTCAAAATGTGGAGGCACTTTTATGACGAGACATTCCAAAAGTTGCAGTGGGAGTAATATTTTTATAGTGGTGTCAGGAACGGACAGGAAAAATACTAGAGAAGCAACAAAGGCACTTACACGGCCACATATTTCATTAGAAACAGACTCTGCTCTGACTTTAACATCCACCATTCTTACTGTCATGATGCTTCCATTACTGTGTGCTACAGATTGCATGATTGCCTTTTTCCTCTTCAAAATAAAAATGACGATCAAAGTAGTGATATACAGACACTTCAACATACAGAAAAATGAGCAGTGAAGGCCTGGTGTCTCTAGAAAGGCCTGTGTTGCCCTGCAAGGCTGGGCACGAGCCCAGGAAGCAGGTCTCTACACTGCTATGACTCTACCTGTGAGTAGAATGCAGCCCAGTGAGCCTAAGGTGTTTGTACTAGAATGTGGCTAATGCCAGTGTCCGTTTCTGTAGGTATGTGCTATCTCGGCTCATGCAAGGCAGAGCTGTCTGTGCAAGCAGCTAGGGTACCACTTGGCTGCTCTGCTCAAGCAGTTTGGGTCATCTATGGTTTCCACGCTTTGTCATAGTTGTTGCTGTGGAGTCCTCCTCTCCCAGGAGCGAGGGCTTTTAGACGCTCCTCTCTAGCTTCCCAAGTGGCATTTCCCACTGTCCCCCTGCTCTCTGTGCTTGGAGCCCTCTGCGGTGACGGCACAGCACCCTCCCCGCCACAGCCCGGCGCCAAGCCCTGTGGGTTTCAATCAGTCACTGAGCCTGGGTGATCTCTACATCTCAGCGAAAGGGACGTTTAAGCACCTTGACCGTGACCGTCCAACTCGAGTGTGGGCCAGACTCCGTGACTGGCTTCCAAAGAACAGCGCAGGGAAGTGAAGCACTTCACTCCCCCGTGGAGGAAGCTGCAAATGCTCCTGCAGGCCAGCAAAGCAGCGCTCATGCGCAGTGAAATACCCTCTGCCGGCACACAGGAGCAGCACGAGCCGAGGCTACAACTCTGAGTTTTCTTTGCCTGTAAACTCAATCTAACCACAAGAAAAACATCAGAGAAACTCAGGTGGGGAGGCTCTAGTACTTTAGACCTGTTCACGTCAAGAAGGCCAAGGGAAGACTGAGCAACTGTCACAAGTAAAGCGGCAGCAGGGACAAAATTAAATGCAAGATGATACCATGGAGTAAATCCTGGAACGTGAGGTGTTATCATGGAAAAACTGGTATAATCCAAACAAACTCTAGTGTTTTATTAAGAGCAATTTGTCAGCATTGTTTCTTAGTTTTTATAAATGTGGCAAGATAAGACATTAAGAATGAGAAAATGGGTTAAGGATACATGAGAATACTGTAGTATCTTTGAAATTTTTCTATAAATCTAAAATTAATATAAAACAAAATGTTAATTAAAAAGGAAGGCTGCTAAGCTTGGCTGTAAGAAAATAACGAGTTAGTTCTACTGCTGAAGCTTTTGTTGGGTTCTGAGCAATCTTTATGAAGCGGCTGTGCCTAGTTTCATATATTTTACACATTTTTCTATAATGAAAAATGTAAAACTCAGGCAAAAGTTGAGAGAGAACATAATGTCCCTCGTCATCACCAAGGCACAGCAAAGCTTAGCTCAGACTGACTTGTTTCCTCCCAGAGGGCATTGTGAAGCACAGCCTAGACAGTATACCATGTGATTGTACACATTTCAACACGCGCCTTTATAGCAGACTCTTCCTTAGAGTAAAAGATACAGAGCTGGAGACATGGTTCGTCGGGGAGAGCACTGGCTGCTCTTCCAGGGACCCAGGTTCAGTTTCCAGCACCCATGAGGTGTTTCACAACAGTCTGTAACGGCAGTGCCAGGGTTCCCAGCAGCCCCTGCCAATCTCTGCGGACACCTATGTATCATGTACCTGATGCACACAGATGGATGCAGGTACACACAGAAGTAAAATCAATACTCTTAAAAAGTAAAATTAAAAATACAGTAAGAGTCTCTCTCATACACATGCAAAGTCAACACCGCTCTTTAAGAGCATTACATAGAGGTGTGTTCACAGTTCCTCAAATATCCTGTAAACGTTCTTTTCACCCGTGCTCTCTTTCAATCAAAATATAACTAAGAGCCATTCGCTAGAGCTGGCTAATGTTTTCATCTACGGACTTCTCCTCTATCGCAGTTTTCCTTCGCAAGTCACTGAAATAGCGAGTCATCTGTTCTGCACAGTTTCCCACAGTCTGTTTTAATGAATGACTCTCCGTGGTATAATTTAGCATCTTTGACTGTCTCTCCCCTTTCCTGTAAGTCAGCAGTTAGAATGAACTGTGCAATCAGCTTGCATGAAGTTTTCAGAAGCGGATGTCCACTCGCAACAGGATGGGGTGCTATTTCATTTTCACTTATTAACAAGGATACTTCTGAAAGTGAAGACTGCCTTTTGTCAGCAATTTGATTACTCTGAGCAACAGTCATATAATAGCAAAGAAAACACTCACACCCCCTTCCCTTACTTGCTAATTTAAAAAATAATGAGCCGGGTGGTGGTGGTACACGCCTTTAGCACGAGGGAGGCAGAGACAGGCAGATCTTTGAGCTCAAAGCCAGCCTGGTCTATAGAGTGATTCCAGGACAGCCAGGGCGACACACAGAGAAACCCTGTCTGAAAAAAGAAAAAATAATTGAGTTGGAGTGGGCATGGTAGCATCACAGTACTTAGGAGGTAGAGGCAGAGGATTCTGTTCAAAGGCACCCTCAGCTGCCCTTGCGGGCCAGCCTAGGCTGTGAGACACTATCTCAGCAGTCCTGGAGTAGCAACTGTAGTAAGTCAGTTCCCTGGCATCCAAGGGCAATAGGAGACTTTGCACACACCCCATAGGTTACACAAACCTGCAGTTTCTCAGTCATTACACACTCCATTGGTGCTTGGGCTTTCCAAACGAGCTTATACAGTGCCCAGTCTTTTTTTTTTTTTTTTAAACAGAGTGTGGTGGCTTCAGCTTTCTTGATCAGGGTCTTCATTTTGGTATGACCTTATGCCCACATTCTACCTGGACTTCTCTCTTGGCTTGGAACTGACTCTAAGACCACAAACATTACGAGACAAAATTTAGAGGAGGGAGGCAGCTCACAGATACAGGGTGGGCCACTAAGTCTAACCTCAGGGGACAAGGCAGGATATAGTCTTGTTTGTTTTTTGAGACTGGGTTTACCTCTGTAGCCCAGGCTAGGCCAGAATTCATCAAGAATGGGTTGGACCTGAATTTTGGATTCTCTTGTTTCTACCTCCCAAGTGCTGAGTTCACAGGTACGAGCTACCATGATTGACTGGCTTAGGAAATTACTGTTTTCATATAAAGTTACATGTTAAGGTTATACTGACCAAATTCAAATTACCTCCATCTATTCTTTCTTTCCAGTTTCTTCAATTACTTAGTTCTCAATATGACTACTAAAAACTAAAACGTTTTCAAAGGATTTTTTGTTCTGAGGGGGTATTACACTACCAATGCACAGTCAGATCACTGTTTGTTTGTCTAAGACAAGGCCTTACTATGTAGCCCAGGCTGGACCTCACAATCCTCCTGCGTGTGGTTCCTGAATGCCAGGACCTCAGACAGCATCTCCCCACCAGCCACGCCACTGTACTCAGTATTACTTGTAACGATGTCTAACATGAGCCCACTCAGAGATGCAGATGAACCTCTTTCTATGTGCCTTGATTTTAGGGACTGCGCTTTGAAATTCAGTATTGTTTCAGGCTATAAAAACGATTTACATGTATTTCAAAGTTACATTTGTAAGACAACATGTATTCAGAGAAATCTAGCTTCCCTCCCTATCCGTGTTTACACTTTCCTGTTAGGTAGTTTTAAAATATTTAGCCACTGGTTTAAGTATAAGGAGACACACATCTGGATGCACAGGTATGTCTATACTCATCTGTTTATGACACACACGAAGACGGCTGAGTTCATACAAACAGTTTTAAATTCTGTTTTCAAACAGAATGGGATACAGAGATGTGTTTCATCATTCATAAATATCAGTCATCAGCACAGGGCTAGAGAGATGCTCAGTGGTTGAGAGTGCTTGCTGTTGTTGCAGAGGACAGAGTTCAGTTGCCAGCACCCACACTGGGCAGTTCACAACCCGCCCATAGTTCCAGCTCCAGGACACTCGATGCCCTATCTGGCCTCTGCAGGAACTGTAAACATCTGTCCAGACACACACATACATGTAATTAAAAATAAAATCTTTACCAAAATTCAAAAGCGCACATGAAATGTATACAGCTCTCTGCGTGGTCTACTGACCCCCTTTTCTGGTGCTTTCTGACTGATTCAGATGCTGTCAAATTATGAGGGGTTTAACTCCTGATAAACCCATACAAGACTGAACACATAAGTAAAATTGTATTTACTCCTCCAAACTCATCAAACAACCTCTCTTGGCGACACAACGCACTGCAGTTTGGACTGTTCCCTCAAACAGTCTCGCAGCTGACCTGGAGGTATGGCTTCCTCAGCTACCCACACAGCAAGAGAGAACTGGGCCTCAGGTCACCAGTCCTGAGTGTGCACTGCCTCCACACTTTTTCAAGTGCAAACAAGGCTAGGCTACAAACTGTGTTTTTAAATGTATGTGTGCTTGTAAGAATACAGGAGTGTGGCCAGCTCTAGAGACTAGAGGAGCACACTGGATGCCCTGGAGCTGGAGTTAGGGATGGCTGAGGGCCACCTGATGCGGGTGCTGGGAGCCAGAAGCTCAGTGTGTGCTCCTAACTACTGAGCCATCTCTCCAGCCCAGGAAACTAACTGCATTTTAAAGCTGGTAGTCTGGTTCTCATGGCTGATGCTGCTAGTATTTTGATTAAC